TGAAGAAGAAAAAACTTTTCAGAAAATGTTTTTGTGGAAGCTTCTCTTAGAAAATTAAACTTGCAGGCTTTCTCAATGGAACTATCTTTTGTGAAAAGGCTCTGGGTTGTCTTTTACCAATTCCATGTGCTGGCATGATTACAATGCTAAAATGGTTTACTAGTTTTATCCCAAAGTTATACCATATTACTGCTACAGAGTCAACTCAGTCTTATTTCTTCCATCCATCAAATGTAAAGAAAAAATTCCATTCAAGCAGTTTTTTCATCCAAAAACAGACTTCCATGTGAACGTTTTCCTGAACACTATGATTTTAACATCTTCAAATCAAGGTTTAATCATTGTATATCCTCCTTATTCTCATCGTCTCTGGCTTGGAGCAAAATGATGCTTCTCAGTATATTTGCAGTATATACTGTTTACAAAATATCATATTATTCATTTTGAAATCCAACCTTTAATTTATGAGCTAAATGTAGAAACCTATAATTAATACTGGATTTTTAAAAGATTTATAATTAAGAAGATAGAAGATAATGATTGACATTGTATTTAAATTATTGAAGATTAAAATTTGGAAGCAAAAAGCTGTAAGAGATTTCCACAACCGAGAAATATGATAGAAGAAACTGTCAGCATAGAACTTACAGTTATTTTTAGGTATTTCAACTGTAAAATGATGGGACATTGCTTCCAATCTAATTTTCTCCTTTATGTGCTGAGTTCCTTCAAGATATAGGTAATCATAACCTTCCACATCCACCTGTCCCTTGTAGCCCTTAATAAGTTTTGTCTTTTTGTAATTTCTCCCAGACCATGTTTTGCCATCCACTTACTCAAGCCCATTAAGTATGTCACACATTGCTTTCCCTTGTTCCTCTATCCATCCTGTGAGTATCAGATTTTCCAAGCTTTCCTTCCTCAATATGTGTTCCAGAAATTTCAACTGCCTCTTCCTGATGTTAAGTATTTTCCATTCTCTCCAAAATCTCATCATTGGTCACATGTTTGACCCATGATATCCTTGACATCCTTCTGTAGAACCACATTTCTGTTGCTTTGAGACTCTTTTTCATCTTTGAGGAGATTGTCCAGCATTTACTGCCATACAGGAGGACAGATATCACATAACAGTTCATTACTCTTTTCTTTGTTTTCAATGAAGTACAGTGTTTGAATTCATAAAGTCTAGGTACCAAAGAGGAAGCCTCATCAGAACAATTACCATGAAAATATTTATAGAAAAGCCACAGGGAAGCTATATTATAGCTGATACTACAGCATGATTTGAATTGCCAAGAGGACAGAGTTGTGATGCTCAATAAGAGCCAGGAGAGGAGGTAAGGAACAAATCAAATAAAGAAGGAATTTTTTTTATTGGCTTTTTCCACATCAGGTTGAAACACGGGTTCCTGTACAATCATTGAAATACCTGACAAATACATTAGTAGATATAAAATAAAGAAATGTTGATTTTAGCATATCATTTACCATGAGGTTTTTGAGTGCTAAAACATTGTTAAAAATGTTTGAGGATTATTTAATTTTCTCATTTGCCATCAATCAGATGACTTTGTGCACAGGTCAGTACTGGGTATAACAATGAACTACATCTGGCAGCAAGGCCTCTGATTGGGAGATTGGAAGTTTTGAGGTCATGGAACCACATCTCATTTGCTATTATTCCTAAAACCACCCTAACCCAGGGGGGAAACACCTTTTAGAGTTGCAGCTATGGGCAAATCGTAAACCACCAAACAAAAGCAAGACACTATGAAAGGATAAAAATATATATTTATAGTAAAATTACCAACAATATATTTTTAAAGCAAAATGACCAGCAATACATTTTATAGTAGATTTACCAGAAATACATATATATATATAATAATAAAGAAAATCTTAAAGATTCATTTTGGTTATAATTTATTTTGTGAATAGCTATATATTCTTCTCTTCAAACCCAAATCTTTCTTCTTAATTTTTTTTTTTTTTTACTAAAAAATTTCTGTCTGAAGACATGAATATACAGATATTCATGAAATAAATTATAACCAAAATGAATCTTTAAGGTTTTCTTCTTGATTATTTTTATTATTATAATGCTCTATAGTCTACATTGAGCTCTCCCTAAATTAATACTCTCTTTGGAATTATCCCTACCAGTCACAAATTGTTAATATTTATATTTTGTTTAAAAAATGATGTAGTGCATTCTTTAAAAGAAATTATTTTTTGTCCAACACTTCTTCAGAATGATTCATTGGGAAAACGCACCAAACATACAAAAAAATAATAATCATAAGCACCAAAAAAAATAATAATCATAAGCACCAAAAAAAATAATAATCATAATCACCAAAAAAATTAATAATCATAAGTACCAAAAAAAATAATAATAATAATAATAAGCACCAAAAAAAATTAATAATCATAATCACCAAAAAATTAATAATCATAAAAATAATAATCACCAAAAAAAAATAAATCATAAGCAGCAAAAAAATAATAATCAATAAGCAATCATAAGCAAAAAAAATAATCAATAATAATCACCAAAAAAATAATAATAATCATAAGTAATCACCAAAAAATAATAATCATAAGTACCCAAAAATAATAATCATAATCACCAAAAAAATAATAAAAAGTAAAAAAATAATAATCATAAGTACCCAAAAATAATAATCCACCAAAAAAATAATAATCATAAGCAAAAAAAAATAATCATAATCACCAAAAAAATAATAATCATAAGTACCCAAAAATAATAATCATAATAATCATAAAAAAAAATAATAATCATAAGTACCCAAAAAATAATAATCATAATCACCAAAAAAATAATAATCATAAGTACCCAAAAAATAATAATCATAATCACCAAAAAAATAATAATCATAAGTACCCAAAAAATAATAATCATAAGTACCCAAAAATAATAATCATAAGCACCAAAAAAAATAATAATCATAAGCACCAAAAAAATAATAATCATAAGCACCAAAAAAAATAATAATCATAAGTACCCAAAAAATAATAATCATAAGTACCCAAAAAATAATAATCATAAGCACCAAAAAAAATAATAATCATAATCACCAAAAAAATAATAATCATAATCACCAAAAAAATAATAATCATAATCACCAAAAAAATAATAATCATAAGTACCCCAAAAATAATAATCATAATCACCAAAAAAATAATAATCATAAGTACCCAAAAAATAATAATCATAAGTACCCAAAAAATAATAATCATAAGCACCAAAAAAAATAATAATCATAAGCACCAAAAAATAATAATCATAAGCACCAAAAAAATAATAAAATAATAATCATAAGTACCCAAAAAAATAATAATCATAAAAAAAAAAAATAATAATCATAATCACCAAAAAATAATAATCATAATCACCAAAAAATAATAATCATAAGTACCCCAAAATAATAATCATAATCAAAAAAAAATAATAATCATAAGTACCCAAAAAATAATAATCATAAGTACCCAAAAAATAATAATCATAAGCACCAAAAAAATAATAATCATAATCACCAAAAAAATAATAATCATAATCACCAAAAAAATAATAATCATAAGCACCAAAAAAATAATAATCATAAATGCTAAAACTGAAAAGTGCATGGTGGGTAAATAAGGAGCCACAACTAAAAAATAAATGTATTACTAAAACAATTTATGTAAATAAGCTCTTTTATGATGAGTAATAATTTTTTATGTTTTGTAAAATATTTTATAACCAAATAACCAATACAATTTTATAGCAAATGAACAATAATACATTTTATCTATAGGTGACAGCATACAATAGTGTTCAAAATATATTTAATTGAAGCCATAAAAATGCATTCAAAATATTTAGAATTCAGAATTAAATAACCCATAGAGGTTGATATGCCACTAAACAAAATCAAACAAAATTGTGAAGGTACTCTGTGGATATTTTTCATTCAGTTTCACTTGATTGGTTACGGATAGTGGTATACCTAACATTCATACCATCTGAAGTAGTTGAAGAATTTGCAATAAACAACTGAACAGCATTTATGCTTTATTATACTAGTTCACCTAAATTCTACCCCTAACCAAACTTACCACCACTCCCCAATCTAGGTCCACCAATAGTTAGATGTCAAAATGACTAGGCAATCAGTAGATGGATGAAATGAAGCACTCTTGTGAAAAATAATTTTAAACAGTTGTGTTTTTGCACAATGAGCCATTTAGATATAGAAAACATTTGTTCCTCCACCATTGGTGGTTTGGATTGATTAATTGATTGATTTTGTTTTTTATGGCTTATCAACTTTTTGTAAGTTATTTAAAGCCAGAAAATAATTTTAAATTCCAAATCTTTTTGGGAGATAATAATGATTTATTGATGGATGTCCTACTATTTAACCCATAGCTGTAGGGAGGAGAGGGGAATTCATACCTTTCTCAAGGTTATTTGCAGGTAAGTGAAAATAATGAACCTGACTGGAATTAAAACTTGGCTCTCTGATTTACAATTCCGAGCTGTTATCCATTGAACCACCCACAGAACCAAGCTTACAGTACCTGGTATTCCCAAATGGTCACCCATCAAGGTACTGACCAGGCTCAATGTTGCTTAACTTCAGTGATTGCATGAGAACCAGTGTTTCAACGTGATATGGCCATATGCATTTTAAACCACTGTTATATCCAAGCTTACAGCACCTGGTATTCCCAAGCGGTCACCCATCAAGGTACTGACCAGGCTCAATGTTGCTTAACTTCAGTGATTGCATGAGAACCAGTGTTTCAACGTGATATGGTCATATGCACTTTAAACCACTCCTATATCCAAGCTTACAGCACCTGGTATTCCCAAGCGGTCACCCATCAAGGTACTGACCAGGCTCAATGTTGCTTAACTTCAGTGATTGCATGAGAACCAGTGTTTCAACATGATATGGCCATATGCATTTTAAACAACTCCTATATCCAAGCTTACAGCACCTGGTATTCCCAAGAAGTCACCCATCAAGGTACTGACCAGGCTCAATGTTGCTTAACTTCAGTGATTGCATGAGAACCAGTGTTTCAACGTGATATGGCCATATGCATTTTAAACCACTCCTATATCCAAGCTTACAGCACCTGGTATTCCCAAGAAGTCACCCATCAAGGTACTGACCAGGCTCAATGTTATTTAACTTTGGTGATTGTATGAGAAGCAGTGTTTCAGGGTGGTATGATGGTAAGCTTATTAGATCACCAACACATTCAAGCTTATAGCGCTTCTAAGTGGTAACCCATCTAGGTGTTGACCAGGCTCAACATTGCTTAACTTTGGTAATTGTATAAAAATGCATGTTTTAATGTGATATGGTCATAAGCCCTTTAGACCACTCATATTACAGCATCTGGCATTCCTAATCTGTCAACCAACTAGTTACTGATCAGACTTGACATTTATACAAGAACCAGTATTTCAAGATTATATGACTATACGTCCTGGTGGTTTGATGAGTAGCTTTGAGGAAACGGAATCAGATACTAGAAGATTGGAAACTTTAAATCTACTTATAACACAAGCAAATTGTTGTCAAAAAAAAAAAAATAACAAAAAAATAACCTGTTTTGCTACTGGGAGAGACTGTGATGCCTTAGATTCAATTGTCGGTCAATCTTATCCTTGAAGACAGGCATTTCCAATTCAAAATTTTTGTTATTTCTTTACTTTTAATCCTTTTATGTTGAATATGATTTTGTAGTTGTATTACAATATACTTCCTTATACACTTGTTAACAAGTGCCTCTTCAGATTTTAAAATCGCTAACACCCATGACTTGTGATCAGACTGGTCCAACCAAGACTTTCTACATCCATTTGTCTAACATTGGCAAATGATATCCTCTCAAGGAAAGAGAGATGAGAAAAAGAAAAAATGGATGACAAAAGAAATTCTCAAACTAATGGAAAAAGACAGCAAACAATGCCAAGGAATAGCACAGTATGTTAAACAAGGACATCAGAAAGAAATGAAAGCAAGCAAAAGATGAGTAGCACAATAGGAAATAAAAGAAATAGCAGGACAGGATGCATAAAATGTAAAAATGAAACAAATATGCTAGAGAAATCTTCCACAACAGAAAATGTTTGTTTGTTTAGTGGCATATCAACTCCTTATGGGTCATTTAATACTGGAATTTAATTTTCTTGGGAGCATTAATAATTTATTTTACAAAAATGTATTGCTGGTAATTTTTTTACTATGAAAATGTATTGTTATTATTTTTAGTATAAAATATTTTATATTTTCAGTGTTTTCCCCTCAGTTTCGGGGGTTAATTATTTGCAAATAGCTGTGACCCTAACAGATGCTACCACTCTGGGTCAGGGTGGACCTAAGAACAACAATTAAGAGATGGTTCCATGTTCCTCAAAACCTCCAATCTCCTAATCAGAGGCTTGCTGCCAGATTTAGTTTATCATCATACCCGGGACAATTATTATTGACAAGCAAAAATCTTAAAATAAGATATGTGAGTGGGCAATGTCTAAATATGCTGGGACCTTCTGCAAGGAGATTTGACTCAGAAAGTACCTTCGCTGCAGATCCCAAATATGCTACAAACATGTTTGTAAAAGAGATTTGAGGACCCTAAGCATCAACCAGGGTATGTGGAAAGATTTAGCCTTTGAATAATCATCCTGGAGTCAGTGCAGGGCAGAAAGGCCTCTTAAAGCTCTAAGTGACATTTCTCCAAGAGTTAGAGATTAAAATTCAAAAAAGGAAAGTCCAAAATCTAACAGACTAGCATCAAACTTGGTATGTGTAACGTTTGAGAGAGATTGCAATTCTTGTATAGACGTATCAGGCCACAACGGATGTTGTGCCTGAAACAACATCCAGATACTAAGGCTGATGGTTGTTTAATGTAGGATACACAAATGACACTGTGCAGATGGTTGACTCAGAAGGAAAAATAAAAGAACTCTTAGATAAGGGCATTAAAAAAAGCAAGAAGAAAGGACTAACTATTATCAGCAAGGTTTTCAGCAAGTGACAACTCAAGATGTGAGGTATATACTGAGGATATTAAAATCAAACAGGTACAGAAATTTAAGAGTCTGTGTAGTGTAGAAACAGATGACAGAAAACTGATACAGAAATTTGAAGACAAGTAGGAATAGCAAAAGATGCCTTTCAGAAACTAAGCAAAGTATTAAGAAACAGGAAAATGTTTTGGAAACAAAGAAAAGATTGTTGAACTGCTATGTAATATCTAATTTTCTGTATAGCAGTGAATACCGGACAATTGCTTTACAAATAAAAAGATTTAAAGTGACTGATAGATAGAATATATGGTCAATGTGGAAGTCTTAAAGAAAATAAGAACCTCAAGGAAAGTTATACTTACAATCAAAATAATACACTTGAATGGATAAAGAGGAAAAAGGGCTTAGAGAATTTAACACTTACAGAACATATTAAAGGCAAGAGAAGTGGAGTGAAATAGTGAGTACTCTATTTTAACAAGTGTATATGAATGGATGACAGAAGAAGGACAAACAGTGATTGTAACGGGTTAAAAGTTATTTAGAATAACAAAAAACAGGAAGCTGTGGTGAGCCATGATTGCCTACTTAAGTTTGGGTGAATGGATGGCAGGACAAGGACAAAGCGGCATAGTAAAGGGTCAACAGTTAGAATAACAAAAGACAGGAAGTTGTGGAGAGCCATGATCACAGAGTTACTTAACGAGTTTGAGTAAACGGATGGCAAAATGAGGACAAAGAAGGATTTTGTAGTATTGCAGCTCAGACCAGACAACAGGTTTATTGACAGGTCAAATACTTGTGGCTTAAAAATAACCCATCAGCCAGATTATTACCTGCAAATGAAAAGCATGACAATTTCTAGCAGTAAACCAGATTTTATTCTCAGGTTGTAACCTACTGCTATAGACAAGCAAAGCTGTGATGAGGTGCATGGGAACAGTCTAACAAGACTTTCCTTACACTCATTCTTCATGGACTCCCTCAATCTCTCTGACTTGTTTTGCAGGCAGTGGTCACTGTCTTATAGAAAACATTTTTTGTCTTATCTTTATCTATAAAAGTAATTTATCTTCATTCAGTAACTTCACTTTGTCCAGGTGCCTTTCCCCTTATTTGTGAAGTCCACTTTACTTATTGATAACCTTCCAGAAGTGCGGAGAGGTGTAAATATCCAAATCCATTTTTGTGACAAGTCCAGCTGTTTTTCATTTAATAAGATATCGACTGACGGGTATTGTTACATCAGTAAAGGGTCAAAAGTTACTTAGAATAAAAAAAACAAGATGTTGTGGTGAGCCATGGTCAGCTACTTAATAAGTGAATGGATGACAGAACAAAGACAAAGTGGGATGCCAAAGAGTCAAATGTCACTAAGAGCAACGAAAAGAGAAAGTTGTGGAGAGTCATATATTTCAAGGATCCTTCACTCCTTCAAGTGATGCTAATTGATCTCTTTCTTCTTATCACAGTGTTTTTATGGAGTTTCTGGGATGGGTTCCTTATCTTTTCATAACCAATTTCCTTTCTCTTGCTCACTCTCTCTCTCTCATCACAACTGGTTGACTTCCTGGGTCTATCCATCTGGCTGTCTGTGAACATATCAGTTTATCCTTCTTTCTAACTTTCAGCTCCTTATTTTTTGTACTATTCAGGATTTCCTCTTGTCATTTTTTTTGTCTTAAGTCTAAGAAATTAAAAAATAATATTACTTCTACTATTTACAAACAATTACAGAATGATTGGAAGTTGAAATAAAATGCAACTGAAATTAAAGGTGAAAGAAATACTACTTTTACGATTAATCACAATTGGCAATGTTTCATCTAATAAAACGTGGATATGTGGGTGGTGTAACAGATAGCAGCTTGGAATTAGAAATTAGAGAGCTGATTTCAAATCCTAGTTGCATTTGTTACATTTTCTTATGAACAAATACACTTGGGAAAGTTACAAATCCATCTCTTCTCCCCCAACTATGGGTTAAATAGTAGAACTTGTATCTGGAAAAATCATTGTTATCAGCTAAAAATTGTTAATGCAATATTCATTTGTAAAAAAAAAAAAAAAATCTTTCAATCCAAAATACATTTTAAGTAACCGACAAAAGGTTGCTAAGTGTAGTAGTGAATTACCTCAGATGGCAAAGAAGACCAGGGTTGCATGCATTTTTTGCAGCACTACAAGAAAATGACCTACCTCCAGGGTGAACACAGATTCAAATGTGTCTTGCTTGTCTCCCAAAAAAAAAAAAAAAAATGGCGGCTCCATGTGTTACATTTAAAATGGATAAATCCCAGATTTGGATACGATAACGCAAGATTATCTTTTCACATATTTAAATTTCAGCTCTCAATAAGGACATAAAAAGAGAGCAGTGAGTTAATAAGTAGTGAAAAAAGCCAAATCAATCAAACAACCAGTCTATTTTCCCCAGGGTTGGTTCACTGTGTTGTGCCAGGCAATTTTTATTGAATATTGCTGCCAAATCTGGTCAAGTACTCCTGCTATATATCTCAACAAAATCCAAAGAAGGATCTGTAATGTTATACCTGGCATCTCAATTTCAGACACTTTGCCACTACTTGGATGTGGCTTCCCATTGCCTTTTCTATAAATATTTTCATGACTTGTTTTAATGAGTTCTCTTCATTGGTACCTTGAAATTTAATCATACTACTAGATTGGCAGTTAGGTCTCATTGTTTTATAGTTGAACTAGCTAGATTTAACTGGAAGTTCTATTATAATAGTTTCTTTTCTTGGCTCTGAAACTCTCTTCCAGTTTTTTTGCTTCCCTACCATCTACAATATTCAAAAATTCAAATACAATGTTAATTGGAATCTTCTGTCTCCTTAAGAACTGTTCTTTTATTGTCCTTTCTCCCCACTAAAGTTTTTCATTCTCTTTCACTTCTAGTAACCCTTTGCATCTTAGTGGCAATATTGCCTTCCTTGGAATGAAATGATTAAAAAAAAAGAAAACTAGCATCACCTTGTATTAAATTTTTCATCTGTCAATACATTTTCAAATCTTGGCCTATTTATCCATTTTCTC